GCATCCAGAAGTATACAAGAGCACCTGGTGAGTGGTAGACCCTCACCTAACCTGGTGGGATGGGTGGATGGATCTGTTACAACTGCTCTGAAACTTGTTAATGGGGCTTTCTCAGGTGTCCCCGACTCTCAGAGTACTGAGACCACCACTGCCTTGTGTTTGGCATTGGTGGCTCAGGGATGGCCAGAGCTTCCTGGTTACCTGATGTACAGGACAGTCTTCCTTGCTGCATCCTGCACAGCTACAGTCTTTACCCAGTGCTGTGAGGCACACAGAGAAAGGGCTACTGTTATCAAGTGGGTAAAACTATGGCTAGCACTAAGCTCCCTAGGGCCATTGACAGAGAAGTCTCTAGAACTGACATCTGACCTTTAAGATGCTCCTACACATGCATTCACAATGTTCAATAGATATCTAAGACATTCACCCACTTGTCATTTGTATCTGATTGTACCAGCTTCCTGGAGGTAGCTGCTTTTATTGATTTCCTCTGTGTCCTTTCAAAGTTTCTTTATGGAAATATGATAATATCTTTTTTATTTCTTCATTTTTACACAAAAGATGGCGTGTGCAATTGGCTTTTTTCACTTAGTAATATGTTTTGAAGATCTTTCCAAATCGATCCATAGTAAACAATCTCATTCTTTTCTACAGCTGCATAGTATTCCATGGTGTGGACATATTGATTTAACCAATCTACTAATGGATGTTTGAGTTGTTTTCATTCTTTGCCATTACAAGGTTATAGAAAATAACTGTACAGAATTTTAATACCTACATAAATATATCTGTAGATAAATTCTCAGAAGTGGAATTGCAAGGTCAAAGGATAGTGCACTTAGAAGTTGGACAGATAGTGCCAACTTTTTCTCCTTAGGAGTTGTACCAGTTTCAGCTTCCACTAGCAATGCATGAAGGGTCCCACAGCTCCACCTGTACTGTGAGTCCTGAAACTTTCAGATAATTGTCAACCTGATGTGGAAAATGGTATCCCAATGCATTTTCATTTCTCTTATTATGAGTGAGGTTGAGCATCTTCATATAAGTTGAAAAGTTATTTCTTGAAGTATAAAATTTCTGTTCATAGCCTCTGACCATTTTTAATTTGGTTGTTGACCTGTGGTAGATTTCTAAGAGCTCTTTATGTATTAGGGACATTAACTCTTGCTCTTAGCTGTGATCTGAATTTCAAATTGACTTTTGTCTCTGCTTACGTTATTTAAAAAAAAATTTTTAAAGGTGGTCAAATTGATCAATTTTTTCTTTGCAAAGACCATGTCTTCTTCATATCTGGTCTGTTGTCCCTGGGACACTGCCTAATGCATATTCGGTGCTCAATTAATATTTGATGAAGAAATGCTCTGTTCCAGTTGTTGGTGACGTGAATGACTGATTTCCTGAGTAGAAATCAAAGCCCATGTGATATGGTAAAACTAAGAATAATACTACTTATAATGTGCCATATAATTTGAGATGTTTTTGGCTGCAGATAACTCAGGAAGAAGCAACTTTAAATCATAAGGACAATTACTAACTCACACAATAAATCTAATCTGATTATCTTTCCTAGGCAGTTATCCTTTTAAGAATTAAGCAATGCTTTACCAATGGAAAACTGTGTTGGATTACTCCCTCCACAGCTTCTACTCTAAGAATGTCAGTTATTACCTATAAATGAAGCCAAACGAAAGGAAGCAGAGTCTAGGAATGGAGAGAAGGAGACTAAAATTTAAAGACATGTCCTGAATTCTACATTTGGGGGAGGTCTGAAGTCACACATTCCTGAACCTTTCAGTCAAGTAAGCCAATGAGTTCTGTGTTGTTTTGTTTGTTTAAGCCACTTTGATTGTGTTTCTGTCATTTGCAATGGATAAAATCTCAGTGGTAGCTCTCTGACTTCTAAATCCCTTGTATAGGCAAACCCCTTCATCCCAGACACCAAAGCGGGACTTCTATGGGCCTCTATCCTTCTGCTGGGCTGCTCAGGACGTTCTGAAGTCATGCTTGGACTTCTGAGAAGCAAAGGGGTTATGTATGTGAGTCCTGAATAGTCCAGTTACTCGGCTTCTAAGAGCATTCTGGAGAGCAGCAGGCACTGCTGGGGAAATAGTGAAGATGGGTATCCTGGGACCACAGAATCTCAGTCATCCATCCATCCATCATCCATCAATCCATCCACACATCCATCACGTCTATCCAGCCAGCTAGCCATCTATCCATCCGCCCATTCATCCACCATCCATCCACCCATCCATTCACCACCTGTTCATCCATCTACCACCATCCATCCACCCACCATCCATTCATCTACTCACCTACCTATCCATCCAACATTCATTAAGTGTCATCTCTGTGATGGGCACTAAGTATACAGAAATGAGAAAGACACTATCCTTGCCCCCCAACAGCTGAGAGTCATCCAGAATTTAAGATAAAATGCTTACCAGAGAGTCTGTGGACTGTCAGCTTCTGTCAGAACCAACCTTCAACATTTAGTCATCACAAGAGAAAAGTAGTTGATCGCCTAGGTAGTTTAATTTCAGGGTTAAGGGTAAGAAAGTCCATGTTTCACCCCAAACCTCTTCCTGTGTGCATGGCTGAAATTCTATTATTTGTGTTTCTCCTGGAAGCCTATTAAAAGAAAAATCCATTTTTATAAGTAACTTACTCTTTGTTTGACTCTATAAAGAGTTTTCCCTGATAGCAGGTTTTGAGGATGGCAGGAAGGGAGGGATGGATAGATCGTGACTACAAGTGGGTGCCTGTGTGGCAGGAGTGCTGAGCGATGAGGAGACAGAGGGGTCCAGGGGTATTCACCCCACTGACTTCCAGGGAGGCTCTTTCTCCACTCCAGCCAGAAACCAACTCACCCAGTAAAACTCCTCTGCCCATTCTAAAAGAAACCCAAGCTGGCAGATAATAGTGAGTCTGACCCATATATCTCAGGCAACATTGGGGATTCTTCACCCCCATCTCACTGTCTAACCATCACACTTCACTTACAGTTAACTGCCCATACACCTAACCATGACACCATTCTCACGTCCACATGTTCAACCTTCAGAGCATTATTATCAACCACCCATCAGCCATCAGTCATTCCATCCATTTACCCATCTGCTGTGGATTGAATTGTGTCCCCCAAAGTTCATATATTGGAAGCTTAAATCCCCACTTCCCATCCTCATCATTTGATGAGGGTGGGAAATCCTATTATGTAATTGAAAGGTGGGGCCTTGAAGAGCTGATTACATTGTAGGACTGTGCGGTAGTGAATGGATTAATAGTGGTGGGCAGGGGCGTGGTTCTGAGGGCTTTAAAAGAAGAGTGCATGAGAGGTCAGTCTCTCTCTCTGCTATTTCTGCCATGTGAGACCCCTGGGTAACTGTTACCACCACCAAGACCCTCACCAGATGTGTTCCCTCCACTGTGGACTTCCCAGCCTCTGAAGCTGTGATCAGTAAAATTTGTTTTCTTTATAAGTCACCCATTTCAGGTATTTTGTTTTAAGTAGCAGAAATGGACTAATACACCTGCCAAACAACCACCCACTCACCTGTCCATTCACTCACCCATCTATCTATCCACATTTCCATAAAACCACCCAGGCCTTCACTCCCTCAAACAATCATCCATCCATGCATCTCACCACACAACCATTTGGTCATCCATGCAGTGATCTGTCTAATCATCTGTCTACTCATCCAGGCACCCACCATCCATCTAGCCATCCCAACATAGTTAACCACCCATTTATATGCCCATCCTCCAGTCACCCAACTACCCACCCACCCGCCAATTGCTCAACCATCCATTCACCTTACCACCCACCCACTTAACCATCCATTCATCCAAATGGTATTTACCCATCCAATTATCCATCTGACTGATTCCAGTTATACCTCCATCCTTCTTCTATCTCATCTACAATGGGATTCTACTTTGTTTCGGGCTCTGTGCCTGATTCTGTGGGTACAGAGATGAAACCAATAGTACCCACCCCCTAGGGAACTCAGAGTGCAGTGGGGGAGTCTATTCCACCCTTGGCAATGGCTTTCTAATTATCAGATCTTCTAGCTCTAAGACTCCAGTTGCTGAGTCATCTCCCATATCCACTGACATCGACATCAGCCACACAGTATCCCTGGATTTCACCAACAGTGATAGAGGCAGGAGCCTGTGTTTCTGCATAGCTAATTATCAGATCTTCTAGCTCTAAGACTCCAGTTGCTGAGTCATCTCCCATATCCACTGACGTCGACATCAGCCACACAGTATCCCTGGATTTCACCAACAGTGATAGAGGCAGGAGCCTGTGTTTCTGCTTAGGATCCGATCACATGGACCCGGGTCATGCTTGGTCCTCTATGGGCAGCAACAGTGCTCAAGGTGTCCTCAGAACTTCTCCAGCTGTCCCTTCCTTCCCCTTACGCTGGACTCATTTCTCATCCACTGGAAAATGAAGCCCTGTCTTTGGAATGAAGGTCACTTTTATTTTCCAGCCCAACCCCCACTTCCCCCAGTTCTTTTAGTAATAGCTCACTGCTTTTTTCCTTTGGGGGACCAGCTCCCCCCATCTTTCTATACTTGAGAGAATACAACCCTAAATTCAGCTCCATGGGTAGCCCAAGTCTCAGGTTTGGTCAGGAGGGCACAGTCCTGGGGCTTTTGCCAGAACCACGGTGAAGGAGGCTCTCTCTTTCTGCCTGTGTGCTTTCGATGAAAGATTCTTGAAGCATCTTTGGCACAACAGGCACGAGCCTGCCTGAGCATTAAGGCCACACAGGACAAAGCCATCCGGTCACCTGGATTCAGCTGTGCCTGAAGACAGTAGCACCTAAAGCTCCTGAAGACTCTCTTTCCCTCCCTCCCTTCCTCCCTCTCTCTGCTTAAGCCCGTTTGAGTTGGTTTTTATTCTTTTGCAAATGAAAAGGTCCAGAAAAAGACCAACATAACTGGAAGCCTTAAGAGTAGTAATAAAGAAACTAACCCTACCCCACTTCAAAATGTAAACGTGGTTTTATTTAATGCCTTTTATCCATCACCAAGTATCGTTTCCTTCCCAGTGTCCCCCTCTTCCTTCCCAGTGTCCCCCTCTTCCTAGAAAACAAGATGGCAGCATAAGGCACGTGCAGTGTCCACATGATGTCAGGTAGGGTCTTTAAAAACAAAAATAAGCAATAGTCTTCCCAACAGCCCCAAATCGCCTCCCTCACTAATGTTCGAAGAATGATTGTCCCCCCAAAGCACAACCTGGAGAAGAGAGTGCTTAAATTAGAACTGTGAACCACCCCACATGCCAGTTTAAAAAACCAAACCAAACCAACGACTAAGAAAACCAACAACACAGGTACAAGAGCATAATACCGGAGTAATGAGATTAGTCCATAAAAAAAAAAAAAAAAAAAAAAAAAAAAAAGAACCCGTCCCCTCCTCATCACCAGCCCTCCCCCAAATCAGTAATTCCTTGCTTTTGTTCTGTGAGTCTTGTAGAAAAGTCTGGACTCTGAGACAGCTCTTTTCCCCAAAGTCACATATTCTAAAGCCAATGTTGGGTACTTTGCTTCACAGGACCCTCGTGTGGACTGGAAGCACAGCTTCTGAGCTGGTCACTGGTCATGCCCTCTCAGCCGTAAGGACCTGCCTGATGTCCAGCGTCTGGGTCTCTGGAGTTCTCAGTGGGGAGGCGGGGAAGGCGAGGGGGCCTGGGTGGAGGGTGACGCCGCCGATTCTGCTATAAATACTCCAGCTCCAGGGCGTGCCTCAGCGCCTCCAGGTCAGCGTGGCAGGATATCCGCCAGAAAGGCATGTTGTGCTGGAACACAGAAAAGCCGCGAGGTCATGCCCTGCTCTGGGTCCCACACCCAAGGGCCATGTGAGAGGTCAACCCAAGTCAGTCTAGCGTGCGGGGATTTCCCAAACAGTGAGGCACATAAGGTTGTTGGCAGACCCGTAACTGGCCAGTACCCACCAGTATGGCCAGACCATTCCTGGTCACCCAGAGCCTGTTCTGCTGGGCTCACCCCGCACTGCCAGAGTGTTCACTGTTTGACACTCTCCCCTCTGGTGGTGCCAGCATGGTCCTAGGCAATGCATTGACACGGTATTAAATCATGCAGCGAGAAAGCTATTTCTTTTCAAAATTTTGTTCTCAATCCTGCTACTTCAAGAATAAAGTCTCTGTACCGTGTAGCTGCCAAAACAAACAAACAAACAAACAAAAAAAAAACAAGAAAGTCTCAGCTAGGGGCTAATGTGTCTTTAACTCTGTCCCCAGACTTGCTCTTCTCCATGTGGGCAGGCAGAGCTGGCCCCAGAGTCCTGGCTGGCCATGCTATCTAGCTAGAACAGGGTGACGTTTGTTTGCTTTCTCTGTAGCTTTTGTTTTTATCTTTTCCCGCTCTTTTACAGCTGGTGATGCTTGCTCTATGTTATTGTCGTGATATCAAGTTTTCAATTTTAAATAAAAGTGAGTTGATGGAAAGGAAAACAATAAATACATAGAAGTATGGGTGGTACATGGATATAACAAAAATCATGACTGGTGTAGAAAGTGGTATGTTGAGTATGGCAAGAAATCAGAAATGTGGAGGGAAAAATTTGTGAGACACTGCTCCAGGGCGATGGATAAAGGCCAGAGCGCCCTGTGCAGAGCTCTGCTCCACCATCGCCAGCTTAACAAAAATCATGACTGGTGTAGAAAGTGGTATGTTGAGTATGGCAAGAAATCAGAAATGTTGAGAGAAAAATTTGTGAGACACTGCTCCAGGGCGATGGATAAAGGCCAGAGCGCCCTGTGCAGAGCTCTGCTCCACCATCGCCAGCCGGGTGATGCGAGGCGGTGTGCTCTGCTGCTTGTCTGTAAAATGGGGATAACACTTGCTGCATACAATTGTTGTGGTATATTCACGGTTCCTGGCACATACTAAGTGCTTGATAAGTATTAGCTGCTATTATGATTATGTGCATAAGGACATATCTAGATAAATAAAGGACAAAGTCAGGAAGGATGCAGGACAAATTGTGTGTATGTGTGTGTGTGTGCGCGCGCGCGTGCATGCATGTATGTGGAGGATGAATTTTGGGGGTTCTTCAGTAGTTTAAAAAATAATAAATAAGACTAATTCATGAAGAATTGGAAAAAATCATTAAGGCAGGTGTAAAGGAAATGTCATGGGAGCCAGCAAGAGGAAGTGGCCTCTTTTTTGGTGGCAGTGATTAGGATGGGGGTGTCCAGAGGAGATGGGGTGCATGGGAACTGAGCCTTAAAAGATGAATGGGGTGGCAGGTTGCTGAAGGGAAGGGTGTCCTTGGCAGGGTGTCCCTGTGCGAGCAAAGAAGCAGACACAAGGATGCAAGAGGCAAGGTGACACGGGAACACCATCATGCAGAGTGGTTGTGGCATGAGCATGCATATGTGTGCATTATTTTCCCTTCCTTTCAGTAAAGTTTTTTTTTGGGGGAGCAGCTGGCTGGTATGGGGATCCCTTCCTATCTGGATGTCGTCATGTTAGCATGTGATGCCTGGAGCTGTGGCAGCTATTTTGAGATCACAAGGCAACAAGTCAGAAAATAAAAAGCCAAAGATGGTTAGGTTAGCAGGATAGAGCAAGATGATGAAAGGAGGGGGCTGGCTGGCTTGCTCAGCTGGTTAAAGCATGGTGTTGATAACACCAAGGTCAAGGGTTTGGATCCCTGTACCGGCCTGCAGTTAAAAAAAAAAAGAGAGATGGAAGGAGATGCTTGGTGAATTTTTGACCCATGGAACCAACCCACAGTCCACCTAGCTTCTGATATTGTTAGGTGTGCAAGTGTTTAAGTCATCATACATGGGTTTTCTGCTCCCTGCAGCTGAGAGATACTGAGCCTCCTCAAGACAGTCACTGGCTTTATTTACCACGTTAACAGATGGTGCTGGATGAATACATGGATGCCGGGAGTTGCTTTGGTAGTTCTGCTGCCTGTAAGGTTTTATGCCCACAGTTTAGAAACTATACGGGTGTCCTTTGGATTCCTGCAACACACCAAGCCCTCTCCCGCCTCTGAGACTCTGCACTTACTACTCTGCCGGCTCTTTACACAATTGTTCGTCTTCACCTTTCTGGTCTGTGGTAGGCAGAATAATAGCCCCCCAAACTGTCCACATGTTAATCCCCAGAACCTGTGAATACGTGACCTCACATGACAAAGGGACTGTGCGGATGTGACTAAGTGAAGGATCCTGAGATGGGGAGATTATCACGGGGGCAGGGACTCTTTCTGACTGTTCACTGCTGTGACCCCAGTGGGGTCTTCCGCACAGGTGGCACACACTCATGGGTTTCATTGGAGGCACAGATAATAAACCCATAGATGAGGAATAAACAAGATAATTTCAGCTCCTGGCAAGTGCTATGAAGGAAATAGAACAAGGGATTGGATAGAAAGCGGTGTGTGTGTGTGTGTGTGTGTGTGTGTGCGCGCGCGTGTGTACTTTTGATAGCTGGGTCAGAAAAGGCCTCTCTATGGGAGTGACATTTAAGCAGACCCCAGAGGATGGGAAAGAGGGAGCCGTGCAAAGATGTAGGGGAAGGTAGAAGACACAGCGAGTGTCTTGAGCTTGAGCTTGGATTGTCATGTTCATTGCCACATTGCATGGCCCCTGGCACATAGCAGGTGCTCAAGAAATATTCGTGGAAGCAATGAAAAGAGGAAGAGAAAGAGGAAAAATGGGGGCACATTTGTCAAGCAAAGTCCTCTATGAACACCTCTTTTCTCTTTTGTTCTGTAGCTTCTAAACGATTTCCAGCTCAAGGAAAGCCAAAAACTGTCTGGCACGGGTAACAGATGCCATCTCTTTAACGCCTTCTAGTTGCCCCAGCTCCCCCACCTGTCCTCGTCCCTCCAAGCCTTCCTTTCCCTGCGAAGATGGATTCTGGTTGCCACCTGGCCAATCCTGTCCCCTTTTAAAGAGTGTAATTCATTTTTCTGGGGGAGAATGAGCGGAGGTGGAAGAGAATGTCTCAGCTGCCTCCATCCCAGGCTTGATGGCTCGAGAGCGCCAGTAGATCGATCACTTGTGGAGAGGTGGAGACAAATGACCCACTGAAATGGAGATATTAACAACACTGTCAGCAGGGACAGTCAGAGCCCCTTGTCCTTTCGCCATATTTCACACTGCTCAGGTGGCTGGCAGCCTGGGCTAATGACTGCCGTTCATCAGGCTGGGAGAGCTGCTGGTGGACAGCGTTTCTCACTAATGGGCTGTGCTTCTGCCTCAGATGTTGGCAGAGGGATTTTTAGGGGAGTTTGGAGTGTGGGGGCGTGTGTCTAGCCTTCCTCGGTGGACTCTGCTCTTGTCTGACTAGCTCAGGGGTGTGAACTGACAGTGTTTGAAACTCGTAAGTCTGCCCCTCCTTTGCAGGCATTTGGAGCAAGGCACATGTAGATTTGCATGTACCAGCTTGTAATTAACCTCTCTGAGTCTCAAATCCACCCTCTATACAATGGGGCATAATGACACCCACTTTACAGGGGTTTTCTTGAATTAAAGAAAATGATGATGTCAGTAATAAAGAGTAGTGCTTAAGGGAATGCAGTTAGGTTGCACCCCTGGGTACCAGTCACAGCCCTGCCACATGCCAGCTGTGACTGAGACTGACCCCCAACATCCATTTTCCCTTCTCTCAGAAGGAGCTCCCCTTTTTTATGGTGTATCTTCTAGGGCACCAGTTCTATAACTCCCCCTTTTTGGCTGGGCACATGGTGTCTGGGAATAAAGGCTGCGTCTTCCAGCTACCTGTGTCCAAGGTGTGATCATGTGGTAAAAATCTAGCCAATGGATCTGAGCAGCAGCGATGTCTGCCAATATCAGGCTGTTCCCCTTTCTGGGGGCTGCAATGTGGGTGTGAGGTGGTGGGGGTCATCTTGGACTTTGTGGAAGGAGCAGCACCTGGCACTGGCAGAGACACAAGACAGAAAGGGCCTGGGCCCTGATGCTGTCACAGCCACCCGGGCAGTGGACAGGTATTTCCAGGAGAGAGAAAGTAACCTGTCTGTCATGTAGGGTGCGGTCTGGCCTCACTGACAACGCACACCACGCTCCATGGAGCCTAGACAGCAGCGGCCCTGCTGAGACCCCCACTGGCCCAGCCCCTACTAGGGGCCACCCCCACCCACACCCTCCGCCCCGTCTCTGCAACGTGCTTCTCCCATGGGCTTTGAGCAAACAAGAGTATTGGGTGAGTCTTCCTGCTATGTGTGAACTAGAACATCTTCCTCACTGGCTTGCCAGGAGCAGGGCCCCCTGTGGGCTTCTAAAGGCGGGTTTATGCTCTTCTCTCTCTTCCCAGCCCCGGAGAGGAATTACAACAGAGCTTGGGCAACTGCAAGCTCCCCACGTGCATATCCTCAGCAGCCGGTGAGGCAGGTCCTTTGACTATTCTCATCCAACAGATAAGGAAGGGCAGCTCCGAAAGGGGGTGTCATCTGCCAAAGGCCACTCAGCCCTGAGGATGCAGGGCAAAATGCGCTCCCCTGGTCTCATGTTTCTTCAGGAGCAGGTCTGGCACTAGGGTAAGGCAAGGCAGGCAGCTGGGACACAGAATGTAAGGAGGCACCTCCCTGTCCTCACCCTCCCCTGGCCCTGTACTGGAGGATCAGCTGGAGACCAGCAGTTCTCAAAGGAGGAAAAGCCTGCCCCCTAGGGGTCACTGTGGAAATTTCTAGAGGCATGAGTTTTGACTGTCACAATGATTTGGGGGGCACTGCAGATGGGGGCAGGTGTCGCACACACATTCCACCTGCATAATTTCCAAATGTCCTGCCAGACAGCCAAGTAAGGACAAAGCTGTTCATAATAGTTGGTGCCTGGACTCAACTCCATTTCACATTTTGCATATAAAAACAGAGTATCTCGGGCCGGCCTGTGGCTCACTCGGGAGAGTGCGGTGCTGATAACACCAAGGCCACGGGTTCGGATCCCATATAGGGATGGCCGGTTTGCTCACTGGCTGAGCGTGGTGCTGACAACACCAAGCCAAGGGTTAAGATCCCCTTACCGGTCATCTTTAAAAAAAATAAATAAATAAAAATAAAAACAGAATATCTTGTGCATGCTTTTAATGAAACCTGAATTTTTCAGGGGTGCAACTACTGTGTAAATCAAGGGATGTTTGTATTTTATTTTATGTATTTTTTGGCAGCTGGTGTATTTTGTTTTATTCGGAACCTTCCCATGAGTTCCTCAGCAGTTCTGAGAAAGTGCGTTACCAGCCGCAGCAGCTCACGTGGTATAGGAACAGTTGCGACCACACATCTGTGTCCACCTGTGTTTGTACATCCACAGTGGTGGCACGTGTGGGTGTGAGCACTGGGATTTTGTGCCCAAACATTTACACATTGAAGCACATGTTATTTTGAGTATAAGTGACTTTCCCTTTATTCCTCCTTGACAGTAACGTTAGATACTAATCTTTTGGACATTAAGATTGTAAGTAGGTTATGTTATTCATGAATATTTCATTTCAGGATAGTAGAAGGGGCATTTCAAAACATCTGCTACATTGCCCTAGCAAACCCCGTCCGATCAGTGAGAAAGGAGGCGTGAGGCTGTGGCTGCTCCATGGATCTGTCATTCTCCAGGTGAGAACCAGAGGCAGGTCTGGGGTGTCTGGGGCCACAGACCTAAGCTGTGTTCTCCAGTCTGACTTTTATTTTAATCCCTGCCACATGCTTAGGAGAGAGTTCTCAGGTCTGAACTTGGAAGAGGAGAGAGGGGCTCTAGAAGCCCCCTTCAATCCTGGCAGGGAAGTGTGCTGTAAGGCCAGGTAGTCTGACTGCACAGATTGTCCTCTCGGCCTGGCCAGTGTTTCTAGAACACCAGTAACTCACACAACAATTCATGTGACAATCCATGTGATTTGCTGTCACTGTTTTGGCCATATCCTTGTGTATCACCTTCATTACTATTATCTACTTAATTTTTTTCTTCTAAATTAATTTTTTTTTTTTAAATAATTTTTTTTTTTTTTTGGCTGCTGGCTGGTATGGGGATCTGTGCCCGTGACCTTGGTGTTATAATACTCTGCTGTATCCAACTGAGCTAACTGGCTGGACCCAGGAAATATGCTTTAAATGAAAGTGCTCAGAATAAAAAGCTGAGTCCTACCCATGTCTCCAGGTACCTCCCTGACCTCACCTCCCACCACATCCCTGTCATGTGACTCTCCATTTTAGGCAACACTGGCTCCAGTCTTCAGACTTTTGAACTTCTTGGTTGCTTTTGGAATCCCCTCCCTCTGATATCCACTTGGCTCACTCCCTCTCCTCCTCCTGTCTTTGCCCAGATGTCACCTCTCAGACAGCCTGCCTTGATTACTACCTACGCCTGCAACCTGCCCCCATGCCCAGAAATCTCTCTGTTCCCATTCGCTGCTTAATTTAATTTTTCTTCCAAGCTCTTGTCGTCACCTGAGTTACATGTTCTTTGCCTGTCCCCAGGCTGTGAGCTGGGTGAGGGGAGAGGGCAGGGACCTGTCCTGCTCACTGCTCAGTGCCTAGGACAGTGGCTAGCACACAGTAGGTGCTCAGCTCACAGAGCTTACACACTAGCTGGAGAGTCTGTGATTAAGCAACCAGTCTCAGAGTCATTGCTTCATGACATGAGAGGACAGTGTCCTGAAGAAAGAATATGTGCAGCTCAGGGAAGGAGTCACAGGTCGGCCGACCCAGCTGGAAGGATCGGGTGGGGGTGGGTCAGGGAGCTCTTCCTTCCAGAAGTGTTGCTGAGGCTGAGGCCTAGAGATGGGTCTGTATGAGCTGGAAAAGGGGAGGAGCCTTCCAGGTGGAGGGAACAGTGTATGCAAAGCCCTTCAAGCTCCCCTCTCCTGAGCCCCTCTCTCTCAGGGCCATTGGGGCCATCCCCCTTCTTCTGGGTTTAATCTGCTGAGACCCTAAATATTTTTGCATTTCCTTGGGATTTGTTGCCAGGGAGGGAAAGGGGAAACCAGGTCCCCCAAATTAAGCTCTGTGACATTAACAATCCACTTCCCAGGCCTCTGGGTGGGGGGTGGCAAGCTCTCTGGGGCACTGTTGACAGGTCCAGACCCAGGACTTTGGCAGCTGTTTCTTTTCCAAGAGCAGAGCTGCGGCCACCAGAACCCCCTGCCCATTCCTCATGGGCCTGAGATCACAAATGTGGGATTTTCTTTTTCATTAGCTTAATGCTGTCTTTATTAACTGGGAAGGGTTCCTGGAACATATGATCAGCGGGTATTACAGAAAACACACCCACGTGCACCAGTCCCCCCACCAGCTTGCCCTGACGGAGCATCTCTGGGCTCCTGAGCAGTTGTCCCAGAAACAATCCAGGGCTACCAGGGGTGGCAGCCAAAAGCATGGAGGGGGATTTGCAGAAGGAAATTACTCAGGATGCTTCTGCAATTTGCAAGTGGGAATGGACTGGCGAGCAAAGAGCCTGGGAAGGAGAGGACCCAGCCAGCTGTGGGGTGGTGGAGGAAGTCCAGGGAAGGAGCCCTGGAAAGCCACGAGGTGGGCTTCACAGAGCAGGACAGAGTGCTCAAGGCATGGGAGAAGAACGCACCTTTTTCGCTCCCTGCTCCTCTTCGACACCATCTCCGATCACGATGTAGACGGCTTTTCGGCCGAATCTCTGCATTATCCTCTCGAAGCAGCTCTCCTTCCCTGCACACACGAGGAAGCAAAGAAGAAAAAGAGCTTGTGAGGACCAGGATTGTGGTGAATAATAATAACTAATTAAGTTTGCTGTGTGCACCGTCCTTGCAAGATCCACGTATTTGTCATTTCATCCTTAAGCATTCTGAGTGCAGAGCATCCTGGAGACACAAAGAGGTTCAGGAGCTTGCCCAGGGTGACAGAGCAGGACGAGGCAGTACAGGGGTGAAAGCAGGCTCGGGAGTCTATGCAGCTGTGTGACGTAGGAGGGATGCTGGTGATGGCTGCACAATGACGTGAATGTACTTAACGCCACCGCGCTGTCCACTTAGGACTGGCTCAGATGGTAAAAATTTTAAGTTATTTTACCACAATTAAAAAAAAATTTAAAAGGAAGTTCTAAATAAACCTGCAAGGGCACAGGATGCTGGTGATGGCTGCACAATGACGTGAATGTACTTAACGCCACCGCGCTGTCCACTTAAGACTGGCTCAGATGGTAAAAATTTTAAGTTATTTTACCACAATTAAAAAAAAATTTAAAAGGAAGTTCTAAATAAACCTGCAAGGGCACTCGGGCTAGCACTAAATTGAGACACTTTCCTTGAAAGAGAACTTAAAAGGACAATGATTTTCTCTCTCTGTGGTTAAGGTTAGATTAAAGGTTATTTGATGCCAAGGTTATTTGACATACCACCTGAATGTACCATGTTGTGGTGGGAGATGTTCTCCTCTACTTCCTTAGTGATAGAATTCCATGAATTTTAGCTGGGCTCACAGTCACTCAGCTATGGACTACCTTTCCTAGCTTCCCTTGCAGCTAGTTGTAGCCATGTGACTAAGCTGGGGCCAATAGGAGATGAGTAGAAGCAATGTGCTCCCCTTCTGATCTTGGCATTAACATACCACATGTGCATTACTCCATCTTTTTTTTTCTCCTTCCCATAAGTTGGAATGAAGATATGGCAGAACTCTGATTTGACCTCATGCATGAGAATAAAACAATAGGGAATGGTGGAAAAATAAGACGAGAAGGAGCTGGGTTTTTTCCTGCATGACTTGGAGGACAGGCTCACCCACCAGCCTGGATTACTCATCTGTGTTCTCTTATGTGATGGAGAAATAAGCATGGAATCTTATGTAAGCCCTTGCATTCAGGGTGTGTTTGTTACAGCAGCTTTGCATGTATCATGTATTAATACACACACTTTTTTTAAATTGAAATGTATTGATTATATATATTTGTGGGGTATAGAGTTATATTTCAATATGTGTATACAATGTGTGATGATCCAATCAGGGTAAATAGCATATTCATCATTGTAAAACTTAATCATTTCTTTGTGATGAGGACATCTGATCTCCTCTCTTCTAGCAATTTGATAACATGCAGTAAATTATTGTTAATTATAGATGCCTAGTTCAACTGTATATCAATAGAACTTATTTTCCTATCTAGCTGTTTTGTGTCAATTAGCTCTCCCCCTTCCCTACCTCTAGTAACCACAGTGTTGCTCTCTCCTTCTGAAGGTTCAACTTATTTATTTATTTGTTTTTCAGCTCCCACATGAGTGAGGACATGCAGTATTTCTCTTTCTGTACCTGGCTTATTTCACTTAACATAATTTTCTCCAAGCTCATCTGCGTTGCTGCAGATGCTAGAATTTCATTCTTTTTTTTAATGGCTGAGTAGTATTCTGTTGTGTACATATACCACATTTTCTTCATCCAGTCATCTATTGTTGGACATTTGGGTTGGTTCTATATCTTGGCTATTGTAAATAGAACTGTGATGAACATGGGAGTACAGGAATCCCTTTGACATGATGATTTCCATCCCTTTGGGTATATACCCAGTAGAGGGACTGCTGGATCATATGGTAGACATATCTGTAGTTGTTTGAGAAACCCCCATACTGTTTTCCATTATGGCTGTACTAATTTACAATCCCACCAACAGTAATACACACATTTTGGAAAACTGTGGTCCTAACCAATTTTTCTAGAAGAGAGGTTAAAGCAAGTGTGTTGTGAGGGTTGTTTTGTGTATCGAAATCATGCCTGTGGACAAGCTCTGTAAACCTCCCTAGTGCTGTTTTCCTAAACATCCTATTCCTGGGATGGAAATCAAACCCCACCTCCCTCCCTGCACCCCCCGAGGTCTGGCTTCTCCCCACCTGTCTTGGTTGCACTGTAGATGTTCTCAATAGGAAACACGGAACCCAGACCATACAGCAGGACTTTGGCCAGGGCAGGAATTAGTTGAGTGGTGGTGACCAGCACGTTGACACAGTTGGGCCTGAGGACAAAGGAGACTAAGGGTCAGAATTCAGAGGTACAACAAGGCCAGGACTCCTCACCCTGCAGCATGAGCCTGGAGTTGGTGGGAATTCTGGTGGGGTGTGGAGATTCTGGCTAAATCATCTTCGGGTGGTAGGGCCCACAGATCTCCCAGCTATTCCTCTCTTTTAAGCCCGAAGCTCCTGACATTGAAATGTATGATTGGTGTAATACATTTCTTACTTAAAAAGCAAATGTTTATTGCAAGGGCCACACACTTAAATAGCTGCAGGAGCCTGTAGGCAATGTAAATGAGTGATACAGAACAAGTGCAGGACAACAAGTGGGGACCGGGTAAGCTGGAGAGCAAGTGCCAGTTCTCATCTTTTGAGAAAATCCAGAAGCCTGGAAACCTGCTGGGCCCTGATGAGTCTCTGAAGCTATTCGCTCAGCTATACTACAAGGTGTCCATTGTGCCCTGCACACCTAAGCTTTGACAAACATCTGGAAAGTGTGCAAGAATGTGGGGAATCTAATTCCCCCAAGTGTGGAAATGGAGGAGCCACCACAGTCTCCTGGGAGAAAGTTCAGTGGCACAAAGGAAAATGGGGCTCCCACTTGCCGGGAATTGATGAGGTTTAGTGCCTTCAGGGAGTGGGTCAGCCAGAGGTCTGTCAGAGCTTCCAGCTCGGCTCTGAGCTGTAGCCAGGTCTCTCTTTTGGGAGCTCCTATCAAGCCTGTGAACAAAGGAAATAAAGACGTGGTCACTATTTTAGAAAGGTCTGGGGCTAGCGTTAGGGAAGAGGATTCCAGCTACTGTTCCCTGAGGGTTCAAATTAGATGACACCCAAGGTCAACTTCAACCCAGCAGCCCCTCTAAATCTTATCCTGGGATTGACTGATTGATTGATCAGTCCATCCACTGACTGATCCATACATACATCCACCCATCCATTCACTTGTATATCCACCCACCCAATTATCCATCCATCCACAAACCCACCCATCCATCCATCCATCTGCCCATCTACCCACCAACCCATCTACCTATCCGTCCATCCATCCATCCATCCACCCACCCATCCACCCATCTTCCCATCTATCCACCCACCCATCTATCTGTCCATCCATCCATCCATCCATCCATCCAAGAATTCAGGAGCGCCTTCTACGAGGGCACTTCAAAAAGTTAATGAAAAGATTTGTATTGTCTTTAAATTCTATTTTTCCACAAATTTTTTGAAGTACCCTCATACGTGCTCGATATTGTCATAGGCGCTGAATACACAGAGATAAACTAAACGTGCAGATTATAGAGCTTATGCTGTTGTGGTGGGGGCAAAGAATTCATAAAACAAAAAAAAATAATGACTAACATTTACTGAGTACTTACTATGTGTGGAGCCCTGTATTTTTAACGTGACCTATTTCATTTCATTCTCACAGTGACCCTAGAGGTGGCCGCTATTTTTATTTCTATTTTTTAGGTGCAGAAACAGGCTTTGTGACTGACTGTCTTGCTCACCATGGGGACAGGCGTGGCACCCAGGCAGCTGATCTCCAGGACCCACTCTATAGATGTTTCTCTGCCTGACTGGCATTCTCTCAGCCTTCGATGCCCGTAAGATAAAGTTCAGACGCCACAGCATGATCCTGCCCCTTCTTAGTGGCCAATCTCATCTCTCTCTCTCTTTTTTTTTTTTTCCTCTTTTTGTCTTTTTTCCGTGACTGGCAACGGATCGCAACCCTCGGTGTTGCGCCCGCACCTCGCTCAGCCAGTGAGCGGCCGGTCTGTATGTGGGATCCGAACCCTCGGCGGGAGCGCCGCCACGCTTCCCAAGCGGTGCACTGTAGCAGTGCGCCACCGGGCCAGCCCCCCAATCTCATCTCTTGCTACTGCCCTGATGTCCTTTCCTTCCGGGCCCAGTGGCCTACTCTTTGTTCCTTGAAATGCCAAGGGTGTTCCTGCCTCAGGGCCTTCGCACACCTCTTTTTAGAACCTAGACCCCTCTCATGATCTCACCTCCCCTTTTGCCTGGCTAAATCCTTCACACTCTGCGTTTAGGCTTCATCTGAAATGTCATTTACTCTGGAAGGCCTACCTGATCCAGCCTGGAGGGACCAGATAGTTTATACTCTCCCAGCACACTGTGCCTCTTCTTCACAGCCCTCTCAGAACTATAATTTAAAATGCATCTGTGTGACTGTGTGTTTGGTGTCTGCCTCGGCCATTAGCCTGTTGGACAGGGACCAAGTCGGTCTTGTTCACCACCACAGCACCAGCCTCTGCAGCAGGGGCTGGCACGTGCTTGGTGCTGAGTCAATATTTGTTGAAGGAAAAATGAATTCACTGGAACAAATTCCTGCCTTGTGCCTGTGCTATTTAGACATCATCTTCTCCACATGCTCTGATACTGGACCTCAGCTGTCCATAATCCTCCCCGAGACCAGCAAGGCCCTGTGTGATATAGACACGCCGGCTGTTTCACCCCATCCCATACTGGCCTTTATCTTCCTGAAACACATCAGATGCCTGTGGTCTTAGGGATTCTTCATTTGCTGTTTGTGGTAGACACTGCTAGTTGCTTCCCAAGATCCATTCTTCTCTTTAGTAATTAATAAAAATATAAAAAAATCTTCTCATCAGTAACAAAACCCCTGATTTTTAGGTGGTTAAAAGGCTACATTCCTTGGCATCTATCAGAGCTAGGTGTGGTCATGTGACTAAATCATTGGCCGATGAGAAGTGGAAGTGTCATATGTGGCTTTTAGAAATTGTCAGAGAGGACGGAGGCCTGTACTTACTTGCGTCCTTCCTCCTTCCTGATGGCTGCGATATTATGGCTGGAGCCTGAGCAGCCTCTTTGAACCATGAGGTTGGAGCCATGGCCTGGGCATGGTGGAGCAACAAGATAGAGGGAGCCTGGGCTCCCAACACTGTGGAGTCCTTTGCCAGCTCTAGGATGCATACAGTGCTTGGATGTGAGAAAGAAAAAAATTTCTAGCTGGTTTAAACCATTGTTATTTTTTTGTCTTCTTTTGGGTACTTTTAAATTTACATATGCAGATGAATATAAGCCTAATAACAGGTTCTCCTTCTCTGCCTGTACTGGTCATTCCCCAACTCAAGGCATCTGGTTGTCATCATTTAGAAGAATGTCCTGCCACCCCACCCCAGGCTCTCCCTGCTGTATACTTCTCTTTTTATTTCCTTCTTATAGTTCTCTGAGTTTGAAGTTACTCGTTCACTGGTTTATAGCCTGTCTCCTCCACTTGTTGAGTAAACTCCTTGAGGATGGAGTCTTGTCCCTTTTATTTACTTATGTATCCACAGACCAAGCCCTTGACAATGAACACATGAATTAATGAATGAGGCTCCTTATTGCTCCACGAGTAAGGAGATTAGTCTATAAACTCCTTTTTTTTTAAAAAAAAGATGACCGGTAAGGGGATCTGACTTGGTGTTGTCAGCACCACGCTCTCCCAAGTGAGCTAACCGGCCATCCCTATATAGGGATCCGAACCCATGGCCTTGGTGTTATCAGCACCACACTCTCCCAGGTGAGCCATGGGCCGGCCTCTATAACTGTTTGAAAGCACATGGCCTCTGGTTTTCCTTTTTCTCTGGACCCTCCCCGCAGCCCCTTAGCGGGGGCCCTCAGTAACAATACAAACTCACAAGCACACAGCACTTTATAGTGTACAAAGGGCTTCCCCACGCGTGCAGCTTGCAAAGCTAGCTAGTCAGCCCTCTAACTTTGTTCCACACAGGAAGGGCACTTCACGTTGTGTGATCGCCCCTCCACTAGTCTCCTGCCTCCACGCTCAGCCTCCTTCCCACCTTTCCTAGTTAACAATGGCAGGACATAAAAGTGCTTCTTCACGTCAGGCACTGTTCTAAGCACTTCCCTGTGTGAATCTGCATTGTCCTGGCATTAACCCTACCAGCAGGATAGCATTGTGAGCCCCATTTTAGACACGAGGAAGCTGAGCACAGAGAGGTCGAATAACCTGCTCGGGGTCACACAGGAAGTGGTGGAGGAAAATCAGGCAAAGGCCTCTGAATCCAGCCACTGCTTCGCAGATGTTGACTTGTTCAGCATTTTCTCTTTTCATCCTGTAGTTTGCAGATGTCTCTCTTCTGAACGCACCTTCTAAAACCCCTGGGCTCCTGGGGTCTGTGGTGCCCCCAGGTTGCAGGCTGCGACCCTGCCCCTTGCTAGCTCTGTGATGCAGGAGCAGCTGAGGCGGGGAGTGTCTGGCATCCTGCCAGCTGTGGGCTCCTCGCTTGTTGACACTTTAGGTAATTTCCCCTCAGCTTATGAGAAAGCAAAGCAGCCTGACAAAGTCCTGGGCATCTCCTGGGCCTCAACGTGGATGGGGAGCAGGTGGCCTCCATTGGCCAAGTCCACCCCTGTCTCCCCTACCCAAGCACACCAGTTTCCCTCCTCTGTTGGTGCAGGGGTAGGTGAGCAAGCAGGGCTGGCCCTTCTGCAGTCGACAGACTTGCATGTGAGAGGCCACCCACCAAGTGTGGCCCCAAAGGGCAGAGGTGGTGGAGCCTGGGACTCTGCCGTGGCTCTTCCGCCTGGGCTGTGTAATGTGGGCAGGTTACTTAATCTCTCTGATCACAGTTTCCACTTTCATACACCATGGATGATAAAAGCATTTATCTCACAGGGATGTTGTGAGAAGTAAAGGAGCTATTACAAAACAGAGCCTGGCATAGAATAAGTGCTCAGTAAACATTAGCTGTTGCCAGCACTACACTCAGCACATGAGCTGCTTTAGGACTGCGGCCATGGACAAGACAGAAAATCTGTCCCAAAGAACTGATGGTCTAGCCAGGGAAAGCAGAAGACACAGGGGAAACCAGAAGACTCCCAAGCAAGACTGAAAGGAACTAGTGGTAAATGCTGGACAGAAAATCTGTCCCAAAGAACTGATGGTCTAGCCAGGGAAAGCAGAAGACACAGGGGAACCCAGAAGACTCCCAAGCAAGACTGAAAGGAACTAGTGGTAAATGCTGCCATTTATTGAGTACCTGCTGTATACCAGACACAGAGTTGTGCTTTTCGTATGCATTGACAATAAACCTCTCGATAACCTAGGGAAGCAGAATGATTTTTATTCCCATTTCATAGACCTAGAAGCTGACGGTCAATGAGATTATTCAGGTTGCCTAAAGCCACATAGCTAGAAAGTGGCAGAGCTGGGACTGGAAGCAGGTTCTGTCCAGTTTGAGAACTGGGACTCTCCTCTTTCTGGGAGTGTAGGGAGGAAGCCCTAGAAGCTTTGGGGCCAATGTGTATATAGCAGACACTCTGAGCCATCTGCTCAAACCTTCCCTTATGGGCTAGTAGCTGGTTCCAAGCATTGTGACAACCAGGAAGACCCCCAAATGCCTCCTTGAGTGGGAGCAGTGTCACCTCCCGTTAAGACCCCCTGGCCATAGAAAAGTCCAGGAATAGTGCTCTATGGCCTGGCCATTGCTGAGCCAACCCTGCCTCCAGCCCCTTCCAGACTTCTTGCTCAGTGTGATAAACATACACTGTCCTGCAGCTGAAGCGGTGGTTCTCATCTGGGCTGCACATCAGAACCCCCAGGGGTCTCTATGAATCTTGATGACCAGGCTGCAGCCAGACCAAGAAAACCAGAAACAGAAACTTCTCGGGTGGTTCCAAGACGAGCCAAGTTTGAGAACCAGCGACTTCTAGTGCTTCTTCGGCTTCAACACCTCCACACTCACCTGGGATCTGGTTAAATATGCAGATTCTGAGTCAGCTGCCTGGGACAGGGCCTGAGATGCTGCATTTCTAACCAGCCTGGGGGTGATGCTATGTGGCGGGTTCAGGGACCACAATCTGGGCAGGGAAGGAAGCCTTCGGTCCTCAAACTGCGGCCAGCATCAGAATGGCCCAGAGGGCTTGCTCAAACCCAGATTTCAGGCCCTACCCCCGAGTTTCAGATTTGACAGGTCTGAGCTGGGGCCAGTGCATCTGCATTTCTAACCAGTCCTCAGGGGCCGCAGCTGCTGCTGGCCTGAGGACCACGTTCTGAGAGCCTCTGGCTGTGGGGAAGGGAACTCAGTCCCATGTCCCCCCACCGTGGCAGGCGGCGTAAACCTGGACATGACGTGTCTTCTATTCCTCAGCTTCCTCGCCCTCAGAGTGAGGTGATACAACACCAGCACCCATTCTGGAGGGTGTCATGAGGATCGCGTTCCATGAGCTGGTGTCTAGAGCCTCTCGGAAGAGCGCTGGCACCAGCAGGTGCGACCTGAGCAGCAGTGCCCTCCCTCAGCCGGGGACCCGGGGGTGCCCTCCCCGGCCACTCACCGCCCACGTTGTTCCTGTAGGTGTTGTACATCTCCTTCACGCGCCGGTAGCGGAAGGCCAGCTTCCTCATCCAGTCCACGCCGCCGTGGACGCCTGAGCCCAGGCACAGGTTGGCTCCTGGGGCCGAACCGTGGAACCCGTCGGCGGAGAAGTTGTAGGTGCTGCGGAGAGGACGGGGAGGGGACAGTGTTAATGCGGGAGCTGCGGCCATGCGTGGGCCTCAGGGTGTCCACAGGGGGCTGTGGACGTGCATGTGGGGAGGAGCAGGACCATGGCTTTCATGAGCGTCCCATAGAAGGGCGGTGGCTTTTCCTCTTGCCTAATCAGCACGCGTTTTCCTCGCTTTTGGCATCCAATAGCATCTTTAGTTTCCTTTGGGGAACTATGGCTGCCCCTGCACGCAGTGGCCAAGCCAGGGAAAGCCCGTCCTCCTTTCCCTTTAGAATTTGAAGCTGAGGGCCGGCCCGTGGCTCACTTGGGTGAGCGTGTTGCTGACAACACCAAGTCAAGGGTTAAGATCCCCTTACCGGTCATCCTTTTAAAAAAAAAAAAAGAATTTGAAGCTGAAAGGGAATGCCACAAAAACGGTTGGAGTTGGTTCATCTTGACGGAAGAGTCCAGAAGAAAACGTCAGTTAGTTCCTGCTGCTTTGATCCCCAAATCTGCCCTGGTTCACACCCCTTCTAAGGCCTGGCTGCTCACTCTTTCTTCCATTCTCTGCACAACTCCATGTCCTTCCACAGAAATTTCCTATTTTAATTTTACTTTTATGTGTTAAATTAGGCAGAGTCAGTTACCCCATCGACTGGTGCTTTGCAGGTATAAACCTTGACCTTGAAAGAAGCATGTTAGGATAAGTAGTTCTACCCGTGGACTGGGACGTTTCAGAGGTGACACAATGTTAATGACAAAAATGGCAGCTGGGAGAAGGGGAAAGAGGAGGCGATTCATCTCCAACAGCAGGTGGAATTTGAGGATGGAAAAAAGAAATGCTCAGTTCTCCGGGGATGCCATTTTCCTTCCTTCTACCATTAGCTCTGCAGGTTTAGCAAAACCACAGGGGTCACACGTGCTATGACAGTTATGATGTAATGCCACGAGGAAAACCTGGGCGTGGCCAGGTGTGTATGTACAGTGTGACCAACAGCCTCTAGGACAAACGGGAAGGTCTCTTCTGAGAAAAAAAGGGGTGGAAATCACGTCAGCATGGCGCCTGGGCTGTCTCAGGGTGTGGGTTTGGCTGATTTTTTTTTCTCTTCATATTATTTTGTTGTTTCTGCATTTTCTCTAATGAGTTGAAGAGCAGAATGAGAAAAAATTTATTTGTTGAAAAGATGAGACCCAAGAGGAATGAAATAACAGTTGGAAATCGTGTCTTAAGTACCTCCAGAGTGATGGCCCTGCTGCGGCCGACAGGAGGGAGTTTCCCGAGGGCGCAGCATCGGGTCTTTCCCCCCGTGGAGGGTGAGACGTGATGAGCACCAGGACACAGTGGAATGGGACCTGGTGCCCGTCACCCACCATTCTGCAGCTGGGCTCAGCCTTACTCCGAGAAGAGCCCAGGCCTCGCTGCCTGGATAGAAAACTCTTCCCAGGAAGAGGCTTTGGTGGTGACAGCAAAAACCCCTACCGAATCCAGAGAAATGCCTTGAGTGGTGTCATGAGCTCAACTGCACATTTCACCTTGGGGGCTCCCTGGGGCAGGCCAGCCAGGTGGACCCTGGCCCTTATGACTCAATCCCAAAGGCCTCAGATGTAGGCCCCGGTGTTCTGTCCAGAGCAGGCTGTATGGACAGTCACAGAGAAACACCGACAGGGCTGCAGAAGTTGTTCTTCAGGTGTCTTTAAATTCTTGCCCATTACTGGACCACAGAGCCTGCTGTTCAGGGAATACGTGTGTGCATATGTATATATGTACATATGTGTATACATGCATGTGTGCACGCACGTATGATGTGTATTTATGGATAAGTGTGTGCACGTGCATGTGTGTGCACGTGCATGTGTCTATGTGCATATATGTGTGTATATGCGTGTACATACGTAGTATAATGTATATATGGATGTGTGTGCCTATGTATATACATGTGCAAGTATGTATATGTATATATGTATATATGAGTGTATATATGTGTGTATACATGTCTGTATATAAATATTCGTATATATGTGTATATATGAGTGAGTGTAAATATGTATCTATGTGTGTATCTATTTGTGTATATATATATATACATACATATGTATATAGGCACAAATCTATATGTGTATGTATACATATAACCCTATAATAATTATTTTAAAATTTTAATTTATTTTTTTCATTGTACATGTTTATGGGGTACAGTTTGCTGTTTCAATACATGCATATATTGTTTAATGATCTAATCAGAATAGTTAGCATATCTTTCATCTAAATATTTATCATTTCTTTGTGGTTATAACATTCAAAATCCAGTTTTCTGGCTATCTTGAAATATATAATACAATATCATTGGCTATTATCACCCTAGAGCTCCAGAACTTATTCTGCCTGTCTAACTGTAACTATGTGACTTTGTACCAGTCTACCAACCTTTCCCTGGTCCCCCCGCCTCCTTCCCTTTCCCTCTACTCTCTATTTCTCTTTTTATTTTTCTTAATTGACCCATGATAATCGTATATATTTATGGAGTACAATATGACATTTAGGTGCATTCATACTGTGTGCAGTGATCATGTCAGTGTGGTAGTGCATCCATTTAATCCATAATTAATTTGGACTAGCACAATTATATTGCAGATCATTGCCTACTGTGATGGGACATTTCTGAAAACAGAAAAGTCTATAGATTTCAAGTGACACAGAGCTTTCAGTAAAACTTCAACTATTATAAAATTAGGTTCCTTTCAAGAATACTATAGTGAATTTTTCTGCAGATACTCTGATGTTTCCTATCAGTCAAAAATACTTCAATTGTTATTCATATGGAAGATGTCAAGGGTGCCAGTTTGTTAAAGGTTAAAATTGGAAACCATCTTTTTTTCCTGACTCAGTTTTGTCGTTTCTTCATTTTTTAGTGTATGGGAGTCAGGAAACAGCGTGGTGTAGATTCCTCTTGACCTTGCTTGACTTTGGCCTCCTACTTGGCTGTGCAAGGGGTGTTAATATGTGCTGCTGAAGTTTACTTTACCAACCAAGGACAAGCAGGAGAGGGACCAGAACCTGGAGGGAGATGCTCCAAAGGAGAAGCTGAAGGCACAATCTTGGTTTCAGAAGAATGTCAAATAGGTTAAAAAGACAACATTCTGGGACAACCTCTGAATGGGGTGCTCCATCTCACTTGGTGCTGTCTGCAGTTTCCCCAGTGTCAGAAGTTGCTGCCAGCTGAAGACACACTCAGAACAGTCAAGGTGCCCTTGGATGGAGCCAGAAAGGCTTTGTACGTTTTCCTAAATCATCCAGGTCATCAAGTTGTCTTCCAGGGTAACTGAAGCCCGTGTGGATATGTGGGGCATGGGGCGTGGGAATGGAAGTTGAGGAGTGTGTGAGACGGAGTGGGAGAGAACGTGCATTAACCTGTGTCACTTTGCATGGACATTTGTGCGAGTGTGAGTGTATATAAAATCGGGGACACAAGGAAGTCACAATGCGAGAAAGTAGTTAGTTCGAGATGTTGGGAATATGGGTCATCATAGTTTTTCTTCTCTGCTGTTTATAGAATTATTCAAAATTTTAAAAAGACCCATAGAGAATATATGCCTGTTCCAATAACTTGTTTGCACAAATGCTTCCCTTTCCCCACAAGAGATGCCAATGGGCTTATCACGCAGACGTGCTGCTCAGCTCGCCCCTTGGGTGGTGAGCAGGGGCGAAGGAGAAATGAAATACATACAGCTAGTAAAAGGGGGCAGACGTCTAATCGCAGGTGTAGACAGCCATTTATCAGGGACTCAGTCTGTGCTGAGCACTTTTCCAGCACATTCTTACCCCAATGACAAAGGGGCCATGGCTTTATCCCATCGCAGACCCTTGGCTCCAGAATCCACACTTTTCACCGCCATACAGTCCTTCTGTCCAGTGTAAGAGTTCTCATTTTACTAGCTGATTTATTCTTGAAAAAGTGCATACTGACTATAAACTCAGAGGATACCCTGGGGAGATGCCTGGATGTTCTGTCAAGAAAGGGAGGCCCCCCGTGGAGGGCAGGAAGAGGTGTCCAGGATGGACAGAGGCACTGGGCCCTGGAGCTGGGCCCTGGAGCTGGGCTGCCTGGATCTGAATCCTGCCTTCCCTACTTGCAGCTGTGTGAGTTTGGGCAGGTTGCTTAACCTCTGTGTGCCTCACATTCCCCAGCAGTAAAATGGGAATGATGGTAAGAGCCTCTGCCTCCTGGGGCTACTGTGAAGTGCACGTGAAGGGTTTGGGACGGCACACGGCACAGAATAAGGGCTCCATGAAGGCCAACTCTTACTGCTCACTGAACAAAACAAAGCAGAACAGGGCATCTGATGCCTGGCGCCTAACATACGGTAGGTTCTCAATAGACAGTTCTTGAACTAATTAAGTGGGGAATTTGGTTGCTAGGGGAGAAAACACTCTTGGACCGTGGGTTCTTGAAGAATTCTCGGAAGAATACTCAGAGGACTATTGCTCTCAATTCCAAGCCTGCTAGCCATGGGAGGGGGGAAACTTCATAAAAGTGGAGGAACCCCGGTCGCTCATCATCTTAAAAGGGAGAGCAGGTCCCAACGATGACTGCATGGAAAGGACACATTAACCTTGATGTGGGGTTTATTGACTCCATAAATTGAGAAGCCCTGGCTGGCTCTGGGGCCTGGAAGGGATGTTCTGAATGGCTAATTAAAATGAAGTGGGCCTCTGCCCACCTGTCACTTCTGACTGTGCCGGGCTTTGAAAAGACTTGCAGGGCTCAGCAACAGAGACTTTGATTTCTGTTTTTGGAGTAAGTTAGGAGACACCTTGGAAGCAAGAACTAAGTGAAGTTACAATGACTGGTCTCTTAACCAAAACATTATTTGGTCTAATAATATTTTTGATAGGTCTAGAGGTGTTGAATTGTGACAGTTTTGGATAAGCACAGATTAACTACGGTTCCATTTTTTTTTTTTTTTTTTAAAGATGACCGGTAAGGGGATCTTAACCCTTGACTTGGTGTTGTCAGCACCACGCTCAGCCAGTGAGCGAACCGGCCATCCCTATGTGGGATCCGAACCCGTGGCCTTGGTGTTATCAGCACCGCACTCTCCCGAGTGAGCCACGGGCCGGCCCTACGGGTCCATTTTTATAAAGTTTTCTCAGGGGCAGGCTTGGAACATTCCAGTCACATTCCTCTGAAAGCTGTCTTCTTTTGGGCAGTTGGGTACCTGCTCTCTGGAAAATGTCCCCAGTTTTTCCCTAGAAAACAGGCGCACCACTTATTCTTTCAAGAAACATTTTTTTTTAGTATCTTCTATATCAATTTTTATATGAAACAATAGATGTATGCTAATGAATACAATCACACCTTTGAAAAATGTATACCAAATTCTTAATGGTAGTGATTTTGGAAGGCGAGGTCAGGGGTGGTGTTTGAATTTTTACAATATGCATGTATTACTTTAGTAAACAGGGGAAAAAAACCCTGGTGAGATAAACACAAGCAGAATTCAGTGATTTCAGGTGATGTGGAAGAGGTTGCAGGGTGGGGAGGTGGGGTTGTGATTTATGAGTTCAAAGAGACACACATCCCAGTTCTGGCAGGAGGCGGGCACGGCTTCTCCTGATAACCAGCCCTCCCCTCCTGCCCCACATTCTAGTGACAGATGACCTTGATAATCAACCAGTAAATCAAAGAGCATTTTTGACACCCCAAATTCCCACCTTAAATCTTGGCCATTGTCATCTGATGAGACGTCATCGACGTGGATCTGGTCACAATCCTATGGACAATTTGACAAGAAGAGGAAAAGAGAAAGAAATGTGACCGGTTAGTCTGATGTAGCCTTTAAGAGCTGGCTCATAAGCTGAGGGGTGGCATGAGCACTGGACTGGGAGTCAGCAGTTTGGGTTCTAGTCTGGGCTTTGCCACTAAAGGCTAGATGTCCTTGGGTTAAGTCTCATCCCCTCTTTTGCTTTGGTTTCCTTAAGAATGAGCAGTTTGGCTATAAGGAGGGGTGACCATATAATTTATCATCCAAACTGAGATAGTTTTGCAAGTAGAAGGGGATGCTATTAATATAACATTGGGGGGAACAGGTGCAAACTGGGATGCCAGGTACGCCAGGACAGATGGTCACCCTAGCTATAAGGTGGAAGCCTTTGCCTTGCTCAAGGTGATTCCTCTGCTTGGAATCTCTTTTGCCTGCATCTGCGTAGTGAGCCCTGTATTCTTCAAGTGTCAGCTTCTGGAGATGCACCTCCTGTGTCCTACGATCTGTGATCATCACTTACTGAGCACTTACATGTGCCAGGCACCATCCTAAGGGCTTGCGATTCAATGAACTCCAATCACATGCTGTTTTCCACTATCCATAAACCTCCTGGTTTTCTTTGGGGAAACACCTCTCTCTGTGGTTGGGTTTGATGAAGGAAGGCACATGACCCAGGCTCGACCAATTGGAGGGACCCAGGTTCCCTCTGGCCACCATGATTGCTTCAGGGATGAGCGTGTGGTCTAAGGTGGGCCAATGAGATTCAGCCCTGGGACTTGGGCTGGGACTTTTGGGAAGGAGGCGCTCTCCTTTCCCTGGGGCTGCTGAATGGTGGGGTTAAGTGTGGAGCTGCTGAGGAAAGTGGGTCTGAGAGCTGGAGAGAGGGATGCGGTCCCAATCACATAATACCCTTTAGATCTAGTCTCAGCTGAAGCTAGTCCATCCCTGACTGTGGTGGGCTGAATAATGGACCCCCAAAGATATTCAAGTCCTAATCCTTAGATCCTATGAATATGTTACTTTAAATGGCAAAAGGGACTTTGCAGTTGTAATTCAGTTAAAGATCTTGAGGTGGGGAGTTTATGCTTGATCATCAGGGTGTGCCCTAAATGTAATCACAAGGATCTTGTAAGAGAGAGGCAGAGAGAGATTTGACTATAGAGAAAAGAAGGTGATTGGAGTGATGTGCTTAGGTCAAGGAAGGGGCCACAAGCCAAAAAACACAGGTGGCATTAGAATCCAAAAAAGGCAAAGAAACAGATTCTCCTCTCAGAGCCTCCAGACAAAATGAGCCTTGCTGATACCTTCAGTCCAGTGAAATTGACATGGGCTTCTGACCACCAGGACTGTTAAGAGGATGCATTTGTGTTGTTTTAAGCCACTAAGTGTGTGGCAATTTGTTACAGCAGCCCTAGGAAATTAATACTCTGGCTTTTCAGTTTCAGCTAGTGGAGTTGGGTTTCTGTCACTTTGCAGCCAAGAGTCACGAGGGATGCAACACCCCCCACAGAACCTGCACATGACCCACATCGCTGCTGCCAACTCTTCCTCCATCCTGAAGTACATTCGGATGATATGTTGATAAGGCAAAAACCGTGAGTGGCTGTGCCAGTCCCTGCAGTACTGGTTAAGGGCTCAGGCTCCGGGATCTGATTGCCTGGGTTGGGATCCGTCCGCCTGGGTTTGGATCCTGAATCCATCCACTTCCCCCTGTGTGGTCTTGAGCAAGAGGCAGAACCACGTGAACCTCAAAGGTCTGACTGATAAACAGAGAATATAAGAAACTCTACTTCACAGGGTTAAGGTGAGAAGTGAGATGCTGCATTTAAAGCACCTAGTACAGTGCCTGGCACACAGTAGGTGCTGCATAAATGTTAGCTTTTATTATTATGTTAAGATTTTAGACATTTTCTTTTCTTTTTTTTTTTTTTTTCTCCTTTTTGTCTTTTTTCGTGTCCGGCAACGGATCACAACCCTCAGTGTCGCGCCCATACCGGGCTGGGACCGGCAACGGGATCACAACCCTCAGTGTTGCACCTGCACCTCG